AGTAGCTCTATCCTGTAATACATGAGTCAGACTCCATTTAACAGATTTTTAGGTGGGCACATGTGACAGGTGCATGTGTAGAGATGAGAAGATCCTGATAGCATGGTGCAGAAGAAAGTGCTAGATGAAATGAAAGTAGACAGTGCCCTGATAGCTCCAAAATGCATTTATGCAAACTTGAAAATGGTGCCTCTCCTCAATACACTTTTCGGCCATCTGTCCAGAAACATCATAAGCTAGTCACAAATCTGCTATGTCCATCACTTGAACATTGTCTCCTGGAGTGGGTCAGAACATACAGATCCCTGACTCCCAAATGACCTGAAACCCAAGGGAGAGCCCGGGGTGCTCACCCCATTGCCAGGCCACACAGGGTCTGGGGCTGCTGTATTTCACAGCCCTTCTTCTTTTCATGCCGTTTGGGTGGCGTCAGCTGTCAGCAGCTCAGACTGGGTGGGCTATGCCATCCTGCTGCCTGGGTCACTGCAGTTTGCCAGAGTAAACAGTCCTGAGAAAGTGACCCGGGCTTTCCCAGCATGAAGTCCCAAATGAGCTGCAGATGGGACTCCAGGCGGGGCATCAAAGTAGACACCATTCAGGTATCCCCTGGCTCTCCCCAGTGGCTGTCCAAGCACACTCTTCTTCCTCCCTGCCCACCCCCCTTTTTTTAAACTGGGGGTGGGGAGAGGGAAGAGCCTGTCTTTGATCTCAGCAGAGGAAAAAGTCTGTTCTATTCAGGCTTTTGACTAACACAACAGTGTTTAAAATTTAACTTCGCTTAATTAATTAGTAATTCTGTTTAATGCTGTCTGATCTCCCTCCAAAAGGTATTTTGAAGCTTGAGCAGGGAACATCAAAGGAAGCTGGGTGAAGATGGTCAAGTAATGCATTTAATCTGGCAGTTGCTGGGGGTGGAGAGATGCCAGGTTGGAGCTAATGTGGGAGAGAGTCATCATCTGGTAAATACTGCAAGCTCCTTGTGGCTTCCTCAAGAAGCAGCTCCACATACTGCCTCCAGAATTGTTTGAGCTCACACTGTGTTTTCAAGAATCGGAACTGACAGTTTTCTCTCCCAGGGTCACTATGTGGATGGTTGGGCAGTCTGAGCAGCCAAGTGGCTGCTGAAATCCAGTCTGCACCCTGGGTTTTGTTTGTTTGTGTGCTGTGGTAGAGGCATTGCTGCATTCATGTGAAGCAACAGTCCACAAAGTAAAGGGCCTGATAGTAAACACTGTAGGCTTCATGGGCCATGGGGTCTCTGATGCAACTGCTCAATTCGGCTGTAGAGTGTATGCATGAGCTTGGCTATCTCTTAGTAGAACATTGTTCCCAAAGCCAGGTGGTAGACTGTGGGCTGATTTGGCTCTGGATTGTAGTTTGCCAGCCCCTGCCCTAAGTCATCCAAAGATGCTTCCTAGATAGTGGAGAAGCTTTGCCTTCTTCATAACTCCATCCTTTCCTTTCTATGCTCTTCAGCCTTTTCCCCTGCTCTCCTTTCTTCCATCAAGTTAGTGGCATTAAGACTTGTAACTAAAGGACAAAAAGGCATTTTGGGTGGGAACAGCAGGGGAGTTTAATGTCCTGGTGGGCCACAGTCCTACTGCCCCTATGGGCTCACTATCCATAAAGCAGTGTGAGTGTCTGGGTGATTTTTCTGAGCTGGGGCAGAAGGGAGCTGCTGGTGAAGAGGACAGTGAAGACCCTGGGATCTGTGGATAATGGATGAAGAGATTGAGGGAGATGTTTGCCACTTCCTTGGTGAAGAGAAAGAAAGGTCGGCCAGGGAGGCCATGAGGAAGAACTGTCTCCTGTGTGTGCCTGGTGGGAGGAGGGAAGTGTTGCTGAGAAGGAGCAAGCAGGGACAGAAGTTTCTTGTCTTTGGGTTTTATCAAGTGGAACTTGAAAGGCAACATTGAACCTGAAGGTGGTTTTCTGATAATTTCCCTTTGAACTTGAAGTTTGGTTTTGATAAGGCTGGTTAGCTTGCATCTCCAGCCAGGACCTCTGCAGAAAGAGGCAGCAGCTTTGAAGATGGAGCTGGACTTGGTTTTTCTTTGTATTTTCCCTTTTATTTTTTTGCCCTGGAGGGTGAATGAAGGATGTTGTGGGCTGTGGTATCATTGTGGTTTATCTCGTGGGATTTTGGGGTTGAGGAGTGTTGTTTGGATCTGTGCTGTCAGCTGAGGATCATGGTTCATCTATGTCTTTTGTAATGCCAGCATTTACTGTGCATTTACTGTGTGCCACTGGCTACTGTGCTAACTTTCTCTTTGCATCCTCTCAACAATCCCATGAGGGAGAACCCTATTTTCTACATTTTGCAGATGTGTGGACTGAGCTGCAGAGAAGTTGATCACCTTGTTCCAGATGGTCCATCTAGACTGAAAGCTTCACTTAGTGCTGGGAATTGGGAGCGACCCAGCTCTCTGACTCACTCAAATAAGCCTCTCAAACTTTTTGACTCATTGCATTAACTTTTGAGTGAGAATGACAGCAGTCCTTCCTTGCCGGCCCATGACAGCAGCAGTTCTTGTCCACTGTTGATTTGAGATGGAGGGGTCAGGGGTGTTCCAGGATGTGTGCTTGACTATTCATGGGCCACATGTTAATCACCCACCTGCCTTCTCTGGAGTTGCTCCTTCAAGTGGGACTTAGGGACTAGATGGGATACCTCTTGCCTTTGATCTGTTACTTGGAAGGGGCAGGGAGGACAGGACTTTGTTTGCTCCTTCACATCATAAGTCAGCATCCATGACTATCCCCCAGCAACCATCCCAACAGTGAGGATGCCAAGTGCCCTAGCCCCAGTCCTTTCGGAGTCAGATCTTTGAAGGGGCATCCCTCATTGGCCTCATTATGTTCATCTCCTCTCCCAGTTCCAAGGGAGAAGCTGGGGCTTGTGATAGGGGTTGGAGCCTCAAGCCAGGTTCATGATGACATTGGGGAATTCTGGCAATGCAAGATGGAGGTACCCTACTACACCCTACTCTGAATGTTCAAGGGGAAGAGAGGGAATGGACACTGGCCTTTCTATCTCCCATCCATGTGGAATGGTGATCCAGAGTCCCCAAATCCTCAGCTCCTTCCTCATCTGATTGTACACCCCAACCCAGCCTGAGTATACTTGAGATGATGCTTTTGTATCCATTTGTATTCTAAAATCCTAACTTTTGAGAAAACTTAAGTGTTTTGGTTTTCTGGTGCCACTGTAACAAATATAAGTGGGTGGAATTACAGAATTTTATTTTCTCACAGTTTTAGAAGTTAAAATTCCAAATCAGCATCTCAGTCCTGCTAATTCCTTCCTTCTTGGTTTCTTGGCTTGTAGACAATCCTCATGTGACATCCGTCTCTCTCAGAATGTGCATGTGTCTGTCTGTCTCTCTTTATCTCTGTTGCTCTTTACATAACTCAGAAGTGATTAGGTTTAGGTTCAGCCCTACAATGATCTGACCAGAATTGACTGATTATATTGCATTACATCCACAGTTGTTGTTGTTGTTATGTGCCATGGAGTTGGTTCCAACTCATAGCAACCCTGTACAGGGTTTCCGAGGCTGTAAATCTTTACGGGAACAGAAAGCCTCATCTTTCTCCCGCGGAACAGCTGGTAGTTTCAAACTGGTGCCCTTGCGGTTCACAGCCCGATTCATAACCACTACGCTACCAGAGCTCCTTCCACAGTTAGGAGGCGCAGAATTTAATCAATAACACTTAGCTTCCAGCTATCCCAAATCATGAGTGTAAATACGGGTCAGGCCTGACGTTGTATAAGCTCATGGCCTGATCCTGACCCACAGTGGCAGCCAAGATGAGAGGCAGTGTGGAAGCACTTTAGATAGCTTCTGGAAACAGCCCCTGGGTCCTCATCTGCAAAGCTGGGGAATGTGAAGATGGTGGAGGCAGGAGTGGGGAGCTGCACAGCCCTCCCACACCTAGTTTTCTGACTTGCTTCTCGGTTTCCAGAAAGTCCAGCTGTGCCTTGATCTCTGGTGGAGGCAGCTACCCAGGCATCTCAGCAGTTCAAGTGGCCTTGATGTTCTCAAGGCAGTGTAGGGAAAAGCCCTTTGGGTAGGCGTTCATCTGTGAAAGAGAGCAACAAAAGTCACTGCCCCAAGGAGCAGCTATTAACATGTTCTAGAAAAGCAAGTCCCAGGCAAACCAGGTTCCCTTTATCAGGCAGAAGGAACCAATGAGTCTTGCGGCAATTTTAAGATGTGAAGGAGTTTTTAAGGCTGTGGTCCTAGGTCAAGGAAGGTGGTGGGTACTACCCTGAGCTACCCTTCTGAAGCCTCCTGGGGCATTTTACAGGAAAAGAGAGTGAGTAGGTGACAAGTTGTCATACCCACTGTACCAAAAACTAAAGACACACAAAAGACTTTTGGCAGAGGGCACAGACTCCCTGGATGAGCAGAAGCTGAATGAAAGGTCTATACTGGAACAGAATGAGCTGCCTCTCACACGAACATTGTGTGTGCTTGCTTTCGTGTGTGTGTGAGTATACATGCATGTGGGCATCTATAGGCATATGTACCCTGGCCCTTCACCAAACCATGTAAGTCCAGTTGCTGCAACTCCTGATGATCTACCAGTGCCTTTGAACAGAGACAAAAGTATCAGCATGGAAGATAGACGTACTCTGCAGAAAATTGGTCCTGATTCCTAAGCTCTCCTAAGGGGTCCACAAAGCACCCCTGCTCTCATCTGCCTGCCCTTTGGCCTACACAGCTCTCTGTGTGGTTGTGCACATCTTGACAGCACCTAGGCTGAAGGCTGCATCTCTGAGCTGGGAAATGGGTGCAAAGAGCAAAGCCTCAATGGCCAGTGTGGACACAACGTGGGGGTCTCCTCTAGGCCAGAGTGATATTTAGACCCCAGGAAAGGGGCAGGGCAGGAACAGATCCCATACCGCACCTAGGGATAGAGCCACAGGGGAGCCCCTCCTGCCAGACAGTGGGACTTCCCTTCATTCCCTCATGCTTTCTCGCTTGTCCCTGCAGTGGCCCTGCCGCCAGAGAAGACCAATGCCCTGGGCAGTGCAGATGAGAAGAGGATGGACAGAGCCAGTGAATCCTGCCCAGGCTCTAAGAAGCAGCTCAAGTTTGAAGTGAGTTTCCTATCCTAGTGTCGAGTCATGCTTTTCTCTCTTTGGAGTGATACTTTAGGAGGATGGAAACTGAGACCCACCCAGATGTGAAGGCCCCTCTGTGGGAGACCCATCTCCATTGTGCAGCCTCTGCACATACAGTACTCACCAGAGCAGCCAGCTGAGCTGTGGCCTAGTGACACAGGGGAAGGGCGTGGAAGTGGGCAAGGGAGAATGTGATTTTGTTACCCCATTGTGTGATTACTTCCCTCTCTGGGCCTCACTTGCTGGTGAAACCTGCCTGCCAATCCCTGAGGCTGTTTTGGGAAACTACATGGGGGCTTGCAGGTGGGGCTGTGATTATCAGGAGGCAGGGGGCTTTGGGGAAGTATCTGGCCTTACCCTATCTGGGCCACCATTTTTCTGTGTGGTCCATAAGAGGAGTAGCCAGGGGTCCAGGGCAGGCCCTCCCAGAGCTCAGTCTGTCCATCCTACTCTCCTGCTACCCCACCAACCCCAGCAGTGCATTAAACAGGATTCCTAGTGTGACACTGTAGGACAAGCACTGGACTGCAAGTTCAATCTGAACTGCAGGGTCAGCAGTTCAAACTCACTAGCCACTCCTTAGAAAACCTATATAGGGTCACTGTTAGTTGGTCACATTAGGATTGGAGGAAGACTCATTAACAACTTGCAATATGCAGATGATAAAACCTTGTTTGCTGGAAGCAAAGAGGACTTAAAATACTTACTGATGAAAATCAAAGACCACAGCCTTAGGTATGGATTGCATCTCAATGTAAAGAAAACAAAAAATCCTCACCATTGGACCAGTAAATAGCATAAATGGAGAAAAGATTGAAGTTGTCAAAGACTTTATTTTGCTCAGATCAACCATCAACACTCACAGAAGCAGCAGTCAAGAAATGAAATGACATATTACATTAGGCAAATCTGCTGCACACGACCTCTTTAAAGTATTCAAGAGCAAAGTTGTCAGTTTGAGGACTAAGGTGCACCTGGCCTGAGCGATGGTATTTTCAATAACCTCATATCCATACTAAAGTTGGACGGTGAATAAAGAGGATCATAGAAGAACTGATGCATTTGAGCTATGGAGTTGGAGGAGAATATTAAAAGTACCATGCACTGTAAAAAGAACAAACCAATCTGTGCTGGAAGAAGTATAGTCAGAATACTCATACTTCAGACGTATTGTCAGGAGGGACCAGTCCCTGGAGAAGGATATCATGTTTGGTAAAATGGAAGGTCAAAGAAAAAGAGGAAGACCCCTAACGACATGGATTGGGCACAGTGGCAGCAGCGATGGGCTCAAATGTAGCAACAATTGTGAGGTTAGCACAGTGTTTCATTCTGTTGTGCATACCATTGCTATGAGTCAGTACCAACTTGATGGCACCTCACAACAACAGTATGAATTGGAACCAACTCGACGGCACTTAACAAGAACAACATGCACCAAACGGAAGTGCTGGTGCGGCGCTGTAGAAGAAGCACTGGACTGTAAGGTTGGTTCGAATTGCAAGGTTAGCAGTTCAAATCCACCAGCTGCTCTTTGGAACCAACTTGATGACACTAAACAACAGTCAGTCTGGATGCCAAGAGATGCCCAAGCGAGTCCTAACCCTGTGTGCATAGAGCTAACTGGCTTCTCCTGCCCCTTTTCTCCCGCCCTCCTTCCCCTTCCTCTCCCCTACCTGAGGAATAGCCCTAAAGCCAACATGTCCAGGTTCAAATCCTAGCTGTGTCACTTTAGATCCCTTAATGTGTGAGCTGTCTTCCATGGCTGATCTGTAAAATAGTGGTAGTCACCGTGTCAGTCTCACAGGGATCTCATGAGAACCAAGAGCTAACGTATCCCAAGTGCTTTGAGGGTTGTCCCATCCTGGTTACCAAGGAACCCCACAGCAGAGGACAAAGCATGCCCGTTCACTCATGGAGGGGAGTGCACAGTGTGACCAGGGGGCAGATGAACAAACCGGAGCCACAGGAACTGTGTGGCTGCGGATGTTAAGGCCTGTGGGAGCTTAGGAGGGGTTTGTCTGCACAGGAGCTGCTCATTGGACACTCTGTTACTCCGACGCCTCCATGTAGTGTCCAGAGGAGGCTGGCTATTCAAGATGAGGCTTTGCATGTAGGGCTAGGAGTTATGAGAGGGTGATGCACAGGGGCGTGTTGGGGGTAAGGAGGCCACTCAGGCAGAGGGGACACCAGGAACAAAGTTTTGGAGATGTGGCAGGACCACCCTGTGCATGGGAATAGCAAACGGCACTGTAATGCATCAGAGTCCCAGGAAGGACACAGAAAGGCAAGACGATCACAGGGCCCTGGATACAAGGAGCTGAAGAGCAACAGGCCAGCCAGCATCTAATTGAAGAGCTAAAGTTGCCAACTTCTTCCAGGAGGGCCCCTCCTCCTTATCCTGAGCCCCTGAGGCCCCTGCTGGGTCTTCTGGGGGCAGAGCCCTTCAGCCCTGTAGAGCCCTTCAGCCCTGTGAAAGGCCTTGACCCAGATCCCTGGAAGCCTGATGGGGTCTTTCTAGAGCAGACTGGCTGCCTGGAACTCAGCAGTGGTCCCTGAGGAGGACTCACCCGAGTAGTCCAAGTCAGGTCTGTGGAACCAGTTGAAGGGGCCAGAGAGAGGAAAGCAGGTAACTGCTCTGTGCATGTGTGCACTCCAGTCATGCGCACACATGGATGTTGTGCCTCCAAGAGCAGAGCGGACACTTGGCAGGTATCAGACACGAATATTACAACTGAGGGAAGGTAAGCTTTGAACTCAGCATGGGCTGGCTGGAGAACTGCTGGAGGGAAGTGGCTCCAGGCTGTATAAACCAGGGTCAGGGACTTTGCACTCACTCAGGCACACCCCTGCCAGCGTTTGGCGGTGGGGCTTTTTGCTCTTCCTGGAAGGCTGAGCCTGCCCTCGTGCCTGATATACAGGGCTATCAGTTCTTGCTTTCAGTGACCCTTGGGGATCTTAAAGGCCATTTGCAGAGACTTTAAGAACTCTGAAACTCAAGCAGCCTCTGCATGACTGGCACTAGTGCCAGGGCCATGCTCCTCCGCCTCAGATTCTCTGTGGTTAAAGGAGAGAAGATGATTGTGTTTATTACCATTGCAGCAAGGATACTGCACCAAGCAGTTCCCCCAAACAGACCCTGAACAAGTGGGTGGGAGCAGGTAGTACATTTGGGAGGTGATGCAAGGGAGCAGGGAAAGAGGAAAGTCAGTAAAGTGTGGTTTGATGGGTAGGTCGCAACCTCAGGCAACTGGGGCTCATCCGGGCTGGGGATGCTCCAAGGAGCACTGTAGGATGTTTGCAGATATCCCTGTCCTCACTGCCCTGGGTTGTCTCTGAGGGCATTCAGTCCCTGGTCTTCAGGCTACTCCTGGACAGAGAAACAGAACCTTGGCATGGGAGACCTAGAACTACTACCACAACTACAGAGAAACACTGAGATAGAACCTCATGGGATAGATCTTGTCATTTTCCATCATGCCTACAGGGAAACTGAGGCCACCTGCCCAAGGTCACATACAGTGGAGGGCTGAGCAGGGGCTGGGCCTAGGCTATAATGTCCATGTCTCCTGCCTTTTTGTTCAGAAAGCCCATCCTGGGAGTCTGGCCCAGGCTTTCTTGTCTTCCAGTAGCATCTAGTCTAGGTTCAAATTCAGCCTTCAGCACGCCCACCCCTGTGGACCTGGTTCTAGCTTCAGGTCTTTCTCGCTCTGTTCCTCCTTCCCATAGGGCCTTGGGAGAGGAGTGGTAGGGAGGGGCTCCTGCCCCTGCCCCTGTCTCTGGGTGAGGCACCCACTGACTAGTCGGTGGTCCAGCTGGTAGGTGAACACACCCACCATATGTTTGTCTCAGGAGCTGCAATGTGATGTGTCTGTGGAAGAGGACAGCAGGCAAGAGTGGACCTTCACCCTGTACGACTTTGACAACAATGGCAAGGTCACCCGAGAGGTGAGTGTCTGAGAACTGCCTGCCACTTGACATGCCCTCGGGCACCCCACCAACACTGCCCCTCCTCCCTGAAGTCAGTTCCTGTCCTAGAGTCCCCTTTTAAGTTATGGCTGTAGCAGACAGTGGCTGGGGAGGGAGATGAGAGAGAGGGAGAGAGGGTGTAAGGTTGCTGGGAGAGCTGGAGGGGGTTCCAGTGGTGCCCTGGGATGGGGAGAAGTGACAGGGGAAGGGGCAGCTGGAGGCTCTTGTACTGCTCCCACCAGTGAAGGGGCAGGGAGCAGGCTCAGATCCCCAAGACCTCCCCAGAGACAGTCCCCAGCCCCAGTGGAGTCCTGTCCAGCTTCCTTCTCTCCTGGGTCCCCAAGCCTGAGTGGCAGGACTGGAATCACCACAGCCACTCTGCCTAGGAGATGGCAGATTAGGTGGGTCCTCAAAGGCCATACTCGGAGTCCTAGCTTCTGATCAAGGCCACCTCACAAGCCTGTCCTGCCTCATCCCTCTTCCTCCATCTCTCTCACCTTTCTCCATATCTGGGCTAAGCACCTACCGTGTACCTGTGCCCAATTCTGGGCATACAGGGGAGTAATCACAAGCTGGGATGTGGTCAAATCCAATAGCCAGCCTGATAAGGGGACAGCCCTAAACAACCAGGGAGTAATCACAAGCTGGGATGTGGTCAAATCCAATAGCCAGCCTGATAAGGGGACAGCCCTAAACAACCAGGGAGTAATCACAAGCTGGGATGTGGTCAATGGAGTAAACAAACAGGTGGTATGGCAGAGATTGGTGGGAGTGGCCAAGATAGAGGTGTGGTGTGAAGGATGCTGGACCTGAAGGAGCAGATATGCCTCGGGGTGTTGGAACTGAAGGAAGCTGGCACAGCTGCTGCCTGGAAACCTGGATTTGAATCCAGGTTCTACTGGAAACCACTGGAGGGTGGCTTTAAGCAGGGACACGGATGGCTGCACGATCCCTGTGGCCCCGGGCCTTTGCATCATCCAGTTACTGTCGTGTGTCTTTCTTCCTCTCTAGGCAGACAGGCCTCATTGCAGGCGTGTGTCCTGGGGTCAGCATGACCCACCCTTGGCCTCCAGAGCTGTTCTCAGAGAACTGTAGAAGCTTCCCTGTCTCTTAGCTGAGTATTGCTTCTCTGTGGATAATGCAGGAGATGCTGGCCTTTAATGCCATCACTGGGGAGAGCTGGCCAAAAAAGTCCACCTCCTCTCAGCCAGAAATTTAAATGATGTTAGAACAGGTTGAGACTCTGGAATGTAAGTGACACTACTACAGAGCTACAGTGGTCTGGTAGCTGGAATTTCCTCAGGGACACTGGTTTCACAAGGCCAGGATCGGCAGAACTTGCTCTGCTCAGCTATTTGCTCTTATTCCTTTCTTACCAGGCAGGCTGGCCCGATGGTGGCAGCAACATACTGACAGACAGATCTACCCTATATCCCATCCTCTTGGAAACCCTCAAAGTAGGAGTATCAACACATGTTGATCAGCTCTGATGATGTCATGTGCCTGGCTTAAGCCAGTTATTTTTGCCCTGGGTTCATGATGCTTTAGTTGGCCAAGCCTGGGTCATGTGTTCATTCTGGACCCTGGGAAAACTTATTTCATATACAAAACCTACAGACTTCAAGTGATGAGGTGACTCACAATATAAAACAAGTGAACCATCATCATAAAAATGGGGAGTAGATGCTGAGCAGGTAAAGGCCCCCAGAAGGGCATAGCGCTTGGAAGCTGTAGAGACCCATCTTGGTGTGGAGCCCCTCCCTGGAGCAAGGGGATGGGTTTAGGTAGCATATCAAGCCCATGCCAGTGATGACAGATACCAGCAGTGATGTGGATAGGGGGTTGGGACCATATAGTTATAGACGGTGCAGGGCACACAGCAGGAGCCTGAGACAGTCACCTATCCAGCCTTGATTGATACTGCCTCTGCACTGGATTCTCTGCTTTTTGTTGTGACCTCAGTTTCCCTCTCTATAAAGCAGGGTCCTTGAGTTCTTGAAGTCCGTGACAGGGTCACATCTGCTAATGCAAGCATGCCTATTGTGTGTCAGGAGTTGTACTCATTCCAGAAGCAAGGAACTGCTCCACGACAGCATAGTTACTTTAACAGGGACATCCACCACAGGTTTGTTAGTTGTTGTTGGCTGTGTTGAGTTGCCTTGACTCATGGCAACTCCAATGCTCAAGCAAAGAAATGCTTTCAGGCCCTGTACCATCCCCGTGATCAATTGCAGACAGGTCCATTGTGATCCATGTTGTTGTTGTTGTTAAGTGCTGTCGAGTTGATTCTGACTCATAGCAACCCGGTGTAGGGTTTCTGAGGAGCAGCTGGTGGGTTTGAACCGCTAACCTTGTGGTTCAAACTGACCTTGCTGTCCAGTGCATTAACCCACAATGCCACGCCAGGACTCCTTGTGATCCATAGTCTGGTTTTTAGAAGTAGATGACCAGGCCTTTCTTCTTGTTGTCGTTGTTGTTGTTAAGTGCCGTCGAGTCGGTTCCGACCCATAGCGACCCTGTACAGGGTTTCCGAGGGTGTAAATCCTTATGGGAGTAGAAAGCCTCATCTTTCTCCCGTGGAGCGGCTGGTAGTTTCGAACCGCTGACCTTAAGGTTCGCAGCCCGATTCGTAACCACTACGCTACCAGAGCTCCTAGTAATAGTATATAAACTGTAATAAGACCGGCTCAGCATCATAGCAATGTACAGTCCTCCACTCACAGATGTGTGGTAGCTATGTAAGAGGTGCATTGGCTGGGAATTGAACCTACATAGAAGGAAGAATTCTACCACTGAGCTTGACCAGTCACTCTGGATAGGCAATATGGGCCCTCAAGAGTTGGCATCTCCCTTTCTTCTTTCAGCAGCCTTCTAGATTCCTGTCATCCTCAAGCTTTGTGATAACCAGAGGAAACAGCAATGAGAGTTCCACAGAAATGACCTCCACCTGAGCTGACCACGAGTGCTCACTGGAACATTTCTTCTTCCTACAAAGAGAGGATTGGCCGTTTTGTGTCAGAAGTTGTAGTTATTCCAGAAGCAGTCAGAGGAAGACCTAGCCTGCTGTTTCCTCTGGTCAGTTTTTAATCCCAAAGCCATTCCTCAAATCTGGCTCTAAATGCAGTTGTTGTTGTTATTAGGTGCCAACGAGTCAGTACCAATTCATAGCGACCTTATGCACAGCAGAATGAAACACTGCCCGATCCTGGGCCAACCTCACTACTGTTGCCACACTTGAGTCCATTGATGCTGCCACTTGGCCAATCCATCTCTTTGGGGGTCCTCCTCTTTATCTCTGACCCTCCACCTTACCAAACATGATATCCTTCTCCAGTGACTGGTCCGTCCTGACAATATGTCCAAAGTATGAGAGAGGAAGTTTTGCCATCTTGGCCTCCAAGGAGCACTTTGGCTGCACTTTTTCCAAAACAGATCTGTTGGTTCTTTTGGCAGCCCATGGCACTTTTAGTATTCTCCTCCAACACCATAACTCAAATGCATCAACTCTTCTATGGTCTTCCTTTTGCATGCATATGAGGTTATTGAAAATACCATGGCTTGAGTCTGGTGCATCTTAGTTCTCAAGCTGACATCTTTGCTCTTCAACACTTTAAAAAGATCTTGTGCAGCAAATGTGCCTAATGCAATACGTCCTTTGATTTCTTGACTGCTGTTTCCATGAGTGTTGATTGTTGATCCAAGAAGAATGAAATCCTTTACAACTTCAATCTTTTTTCCATTGATAAGAATGTTGTTTATTGGTCCAGTGGTGAGGATTTTTGTTTTCTTTACATTGAGATGCAACCCATACCAAAGGCTGTGCTCTTTGATCTTCATCAGTAAATACTTTAAGGCCTCTTCACTTTCAGCAAGCAAGGTTGAATCATCTGCATATCTCAGGTTGTTAATGAGTCTTCCTCCAATCCCAATGCCATGTTTTTCTTCATAGAACCCAGGTTCTTGGATGATTTGCTCAGCATACAGGTTGAATAAGTATGGTGAAAGAATACAACCTTGTCGCACACGTTTCTTAATTTTAAACCATTCAGTGTTCCCATGTTCTGTTCGAACAACTGCATCTTAGTCCAGGTACAGATTCCTCATGAGCACAATTAAGTGTTCTGGAATACTCATAATTCACAATGTTGTCCACAGCTTGTCAGGATGCACACAATCGAAAGCCTTTGCGTTGTCAATAAAGCACAGGTAAACATCTTTCTGATATTCTCTGCTTTCAGCCAAGATCCATCGGACATCAGTTGGCCTCCATGTTTTCTGGCTGTTAGCATGCACGTTCCTCTGTGTGGAGTGGGCTCGGACCTCTCACAGCATTCCCCAGCCCAGAACCAATAATTCAGAGAAAAAGTACCTGTTTGTATTTAGGTACATCCATCCAAGGACTATTTTTGGGCACCAACTCCTATGTGCCAGGCCTCATGCAGCCAGTGGGGTTGATTTTCTAATTAGCAGACATACCAGCCACTAGGACATTCACAACCCCAGGTCTTCCAAGTTATGGGGCACTTGTTGGATTGTGTTGTCAGACCTCCATTTCCTCCTCTGTAAAATGTAGTTTATGGTGCCACCTCCATGAGCTTCCCAAGATGGTGAGAGAGAGCAGGCAAGCCTGGCACTACCAAGAAGCACTATACAAGAAAGGTGAAGCTAGGAGCCAAGGGTCCTCTGCAGGCCTTTCCCAAAGTGGTGAGCAAGCTGCCAGAGCCTGGGTCTCTAACTGGAGGCCGCACAATCCCATTCTGGCCTTGAGAAGATATAACAGAGGAGTCTGGATTGCTGGCTTCTCAAAGATGACTCAGCCCACATTGCCACAAGGCATGTACCCCAGTTGCCCCACACCTTTTTTCACCCATTGTCATAGTTGTGTGGTGCTGCTGTAATAAAATTACCATAAGTGATTTGCTTTAAGAACAGAAGTTTGTTATTTCATGATTTGGGCTCTTGGGCTGTAGGGTCAGGCCCCTCCTTGTGGGTAGCCCCAGGCATTTCTTGGCTTATAGATGGTTCCTCACATGGTCTGTCCTCTATGTGTGTGCCCCTCTGTGTCTAATCTATTTATATTCAGAACGGTGGTTCAGAAGAGATTAGAATTAAGACCCACTGTACTCCTGTATGACCTTATTAACATAACAAAAGAAAACCTCTATTTCCAAATTCTATTTGCAGGAGTTGAGCCCTGGTGTGATATTGTAGGCTAAGCACTGGACTACTAGCCTCAAGGCTGTTCAAACCCACTAGCAACTTTCAGAAAACCTGTACAGTGTCACTATATGAGTTGGAATCGACTAAGTGGCACACAACAGCAACAACAAGGGAGTTAAGTCTTCAACATAACTTTGTGGCAGGCAAACACAATTCAGTCTGTAATGCCCCTCCTGCTACTCACCTACCCTTGACAGCATATGGGCAGCCTCTGCCACTTCTATCTAAAGGGCTGGCATTCCTCTGCTGCGGAGGAGAAGAGTCAGGTGGCAAAGCAGATGATAAAGGGGCAGCCAAGTCTGTCTTTGTTCAGGAAGGACCACTGGGCAGCTATTGAACATCTGTGTACCTGATCCTTCGAGAGCTAGACTATATCTTCTCCAGAGGTTCCCAACATCTTTTAAAGTAGGAAGCCTCTCTTCAGACAGACTACTTTAGCAGATGCGCAGAACAAACAGGGGTCTAGTGAAGGGATGCTGCTTCTCCCTGCCTCCCTCAAATCAGGAGTCTCTGAAACACTTCAGAGCAGTTTTATCATTCCATGGACCATTTTTTGGATACTCTTCTGGTTGGCAGGTAACTGAAGCCCAGAGAGATTGGATCAAGTTCTCACCGAATAGTTTCTCTGTAAGGACACTGTAGTTTTTCCATTGTTTTGTTCAGAATGTGTTTACCAGGCCTGCAGCAGATGCTGTTGATGGCCTCCCCACATGTTTCCTGGGCCCACTTCTAAGTTCACATGTTTCTGGGGTCCAGTGCTCACCACAAGGGCTTTCTCTGGTGCCTGGGTGCACCCTCAGCTCTTGCAGACAAGCCTAGAAGTGGGAGTGGAGCAACCTTCATAAACCTCAACTAGGAAAGGATGAAAATGCGACAAGGCGTATTCCACCCTGTCCCTCAGGGATCCCCAGTGGGACTGAGCTCCAGTTGCCAATGGCAATAACTCATTCTTTCATGTCTTTTTTAAAATTTTGGTGAATATATGCACAGCCAAAAATATACCATTTTTACAACTTTTATATGTATAATTCAGTGACTTTGATTACATCCTTCAAGTCGTGTTCCTGTTTTCACCCTCCTTTTCCATGTTATTCTCCCGTCATTACCTTAAACTCACTGCCCCTCAGCTTCCCATCCAACCTTTCAAGTCACTGTTGTCAGTTTGATCTCACATAGATAATTCTTTCAAAGAGCACAATGTTCAAAGTTGTCATACTTTTCTAATTAAAATGCTTCCTTTTGTGACTCAAAGAAGACTTTAGGAGATCATTTTAGTTTAAGGTTTAACATTTAAATGTTATCGCAGGGCAACATATTCAAGGGTTCATCCAGTTTAGTGGCTTCGGAAGTCTGGATTCTATTGAGAATTTGAAATCCAGGCACCATTTACTTCTGACCTCATGGTGAAGGCGGCAGCTGTTCATGGAGGTAACCAGGCACATATCTGATCCCTTCCTCTTGCTCTTGTCGCTCCCCATTCCTCTGTTGCTTCAGATGAAGTCAGACTAATTATTGTACCTTGGAAGGCTTCTTGCTAGCTCTTAGTACCCAGACACTAAGCAATGAACTAGGAGGTAGAACAGAATGACTAGGAGATCATATTAGGCTAACTGGATGTCCCTCAAAACCATGATCCTAGACCTCCAAACCAAGAAAACAAGTCCTGTGAGGAGGTAATTGGTTGTGAATAAGCAGTCTCAACAGCTGCCCCCCTTTTACTGATAAAAGGTATATAACACAATATTTGCCAAATTCAACACTTTCCAGGTGTACAGCTCTGTGGTATCAATTGCTGTGTAACCACTGAATTTCTCATCACCATAAACGGAAACTCATTGCTTACCAAACAGGGGCTCCCTTTCCCTGCTCTCTCTTACCTTTGGTAACCACTAATATGAGGGGGCTTCAAAAAGTTTATAGGAAAACTCCATTCTCTTTCAATTCTATTTTTTCACAAACTTTTTTAAACCCCCATATTAAGTCTGTTCTCTCTATTTTTGTCATTTATATAATTTATATAAGTGAGATTATACTCATTCTTGATGAGCATTTCCTCCATAACGTCCCAACTATTTCATCCTCGCTCCCTAAGAACCCCTCCCAAATGAAACAACCACATGTTTGTGTTTGCCTTAAGCTCTGCTCTGAGGGAGCTAGAGTGGTTTCAATGCTTCATGGTCACCCAGATCCTTAGATTTGAAGTGCATGGGACTGAAGAAGCTATGCCTGGTTTTCTGCTTTCCTTCCCTTCCCATCCAGGACATCACCAGCTTGCTGCATACTATCTACGAGGTGGTCGATTCCTCTGTCAACCACTCCCCAACATCCAGCAAGACGCTGCGGGTAAAGCTCACAGTGGCACCTGATGGGAGCCAAAGCAAGAAGAACATCCTTCTCAATCCCTCTGGTGAGGGATCACCACCACCGGGCAAGTGTGGCTGCAGAAGCAAGCCCTCCGACATTCCACTCCCACTCCCACTCCCCTCAGGCAAAACCAACACCCTGCCTGAGTGGGGCCAAAGGGAGTTCTAAGGGCTTTCCTGGGAGCTGCTTTGTAGATGAAATAGGGTTTGAACTGGTCAGTAGGGGCATATGATTTGGACAGGGAAGGGGAGGAAAGGGATTCCAGGTGGAAGGACCCGCATAAGCAAAGACATGGAGGTAGGGATGAGCACAGCAGGCAGCCAGAAGACCTATAGTAAAACATGGTGTTGAGGGCTGAGGAGTTTGGGGGAGGAAATCAGGGGCACAGATAGCTGTGAGTTGCCTCTGTTTGGTCCCAGCTCAACCACTGTGAAGCTGCAGTGGGCTACTTTTCAAGAAACAAGTGGAAGCTTAGAAACCTAGCAAGGCCAGGAGGCTGGGGGCCCAGGTACAAACTGTTCACAGGATGTTTCTTGGGCTTCTTGGGGGAATCAGACCTACAGAGCACACGGCCCAGAGCAGAGACCAAGCCTACAGAGGAGCTGCGCAGCTGGGAGAAGAAGCAGAGAGCCCCACTCAGGTATGGTAGGCCCAGGTAGCACACATGAGCCCATACTGAGTGTTAGCTGAGTACCTGTGCGTGAGGTATTCCAGAGCATGAGGCTCACCAGGAGACCGACAATTCCAATCACAGACTTATAAATCAAACCCTAAGTAATTAAAATGCTTTACACTGGATATGTGTTAGAATTCAGAACTTTCTGGACTTTATAAAGGGGCTCCTGGTGTACTTTCCATATATTATTTGTGGGTTCTGGGCAGCACCTAAACATCTAACACATTGATATTTCTTTAGGGAGACTTCATACTCACACTAAGGGAGCTAAAGGGCCAGCTAAAGTGTCATGCAAATTCATTCCAATTTTCAGGCTTTTGGATTTCAGAATTTCTGATAAAGGGTTGTGAAGCTGCAATAATAGCAGCATCTGTTGCTGTACTTTAAGTGGAAAGAAGGAAGGCGAGGAAGGAAAGAGTCAATAGCAGAGATGTAATAGGTGTAAGAGGACATGTGAGCACATTGTAGAAAGGGTAAGGGAATGACTAGCATTTGAGAAGCACCAGCTCAGGGCAAAAGGGGGTTCGAGCAGTGACACAGGGTGAGAACACAGAAGGGGGACTGTTCATGGGGTCTGGGGAGAGTGCTAAGGATAGAGGTATTTGGGTCAGCTGAAGAGGTGGGGGTAGGGCAGGGAGGTAGGACCAGACAAATCACAGAGGGCCTATGATGAGAGGTTGTCCTGCGAGAGGATAATGGGGTCTCTCCCCCCACATTTATACACATTAGTGAGACCTGTACTGGGCTTTAGGGTGGGCTATAGAGTTGTCCAGGAGTCCTGGTGTGGTGCTGTGGGTTAATGCACTGAACTGCAAAGTCAATCTGAACCACAAGCTCAGTGGTTCAAGCTTACTCTGGAAACCCTATACAGGGTCTCTATGGGTCAGAACTGACTCAGTGGCACTTACCACCAACAACATAAAGTTGTCCAACCTCAACTTCAACAATTTAGGGGGCTCCTGCTGTTCATACCCCTTAGGGAACCTGGCTGGGGGTTAGCTGCCTGCCTGTAGTGGGTGCATGTTTTGAGGCCTGGTTTGGTGGCATCTTTAGATTCAGCCTGTAACCCTTGACATTTGCTTTGGGAGGCTGGGCAGTGGTCTTTATTGCCATGACTAGGGGAGGAACCCGAGGCACAGAGAGCCAGCAGAGGTCACCATTCCATACCCACCCCTTTCCCACAGCCTGGAGGAATTTAAGAGTCCAGAATATTTGTCAGTAGCCCTTGGGGCCTCCCTCAGCTGGTGACCTGTGTACCCCAGCTCACTTTCTTCCCCTGTAGGTTCCAGGGCGACAGCCGCCTGGAGCAGTCAGGCTGCTACCACCACTGCGTTGACGAGAACATCGAAAGGAGAAACCACTACTTAGATCTCGCTGGGATAGAAAACTACACTTCCCAGTTTGGGCCGGGTAAGAAAGTTCCTGTACCTTCCCAGGCTGGGGGCAGAACATGTGGGTGTAGTCACTATTGAAGTTGGGAGAACAGGTCTTCTTGGAGGAAGATGACGTAAAAAACATTTTCAAAATTAATCAATGTGCAAAGTTGAAGAAAACCAAATTGAATCCAAGCACTATCTCTCAACCCACCACCAGGCCTGCTTCCCAAGGTCCCACTGTTTATCTGGAGGCCAGGTGTCCCTGAACAGATGCGCACTATACCACCTGTTGACTTTTTGCTGAGATCCATAAAGACAGCTCACACACTTTCTCCCTGCTCTCCTCTCCCCTTCCTCCTAGTCTGATGAAGTCTCTCTGGGTTACTTCTGTACATTTCAGGAATAGACTCAGATGCTTTCATGTTCCAGTGACCTTAGGCAGTTCGCATTTCTCTCTCTCTTTCCGCCCACTCTCTCTAAAAAAGAATGTGTTACTTTCGGAGACAACATTTAAGCCACTTAATAGATGGAAAACTGAAGTCCAACATCCACGTGATGCCCTCCGAAGCGCTGATGGGGGAGGGGGGGGTGCAGCTTGGGTAAAGAATGTTTGACCTTGATCAATCTTGCAGAACTGGGTGTGGGTAGATTTCTAGGGGACAGTGGCGCCAGCACCTAGTGATTGCTCACTGAACGTCTGTTGATTTTCTTCCTAGGTTCCCCTTCAGTGGCTCAGAAGTCAGAATTGCCCACCCGCACCTCCAACCCCACTCGGCCTTGCTCCCATGAGCAGGAAACCTTTCATGGCCCACACAGGAAGTCCCAAGGCGTGGACCCAGGCTCCTCCCACTTCCTTGACACCCCATTTGCCAAGGTCTCGGAGGTCCAACAGCGACTTCGGGTCACCCAGGATGGGAGCAAGCACTCTGTGAGGTCCCCCAAGGCCCAGGGCAAGAGCACAGGTGTGGGCCACACAGCCAGAGGGGCTAGAAGCAAACCCCCTTTGGGGCCCGCCAGCTCTTCAGTGACCCCCACCATCCATCTGGCCACCAGCCCGGCCTTCCTCCCCACCCTGGCACCCCTTGGTCACAAGAAGCACAAACACCGAGCCAAGGAGAGTCTGCAGCCGCAGCTGGCAGCGGGTGCAGTGGTGGGGCGGGAACAGGGGAGGGAGCTGCCCGCCATGGTCCTCTATGAGAGCCAGGCTGGGCAGGCAGTCCAAAGACACGAGCACCACCACCACCACGAACACCACCACCATTACCACCACTTTTACCAAACCTAGGCCCCTTCCCAGCCTGCCCCTCCCATAATGCTTTGAGGCATTATTCTATTAATTATTGTTATTATGATGGTTATTGTTATTAATAATTATTGTTACTCCACTAATATTTCGCTAGCATCCATGTAGAAGATATATGGAAACACAGAACTAAACTTTTATTTATATGTTATGGGACTGCATTACTGACCCAGGAAATGACTGAGTTCGGAAATGGCCTGTTAATGGCAGGGGCACCTCAGTTTTCTCGTGGATCCCCCACACACACACCATTCCCAAGCCCCCCTGCGAGCCCTTGGCTAAAACTCTGCCACCACTTCAATCTCTCCCAGGAGAACACTCTTCCCTAACCTGTCTTCCAGAAACCCTTGGAATCTCCAAGAAGATAAACAGCTGCTACCTCTTAGTATTTTTCTGAGTTTATGTTGCCCTTACCTGGTTGTCCAGACATGTGACCACCTTGCTGTTGTATTTTTCTGTCCCAACCTAGTGACATTTGCTGTCCTTTCCAGAAGGATTGCATCATTGCCCCAAATAAGCCCCACCTTTCCACCACGTCTCTTACTCATCCCCCTCCCCTTTTCTTCTTTAGAAAGATTCCCACACATACAATTGAGCCTGTCTCAGCAACCAGTCTTCTCATGCTGAAAACCACGGGACAGAAACCAACTACACTTACAAGCACAGTTTTTCAAGATCAGGCAATTGTGTGTGGCTGGTTGTGACTGAGGGTGTGGGGGCCTTGGGTTTTACCATGGGCAAATATATATTTCCCTACGTGGTTCTGGACCAGAGCTTTCCATATCTGTAGATACCTGTCATCTGCTTGTTTCTATGTATCTTTCTATAAATATACACTCTCAGGTACCTTTTCTGTGTGGAGGAATTGATGGTTTGCTTCTCTGGTGATTTGTTGGGGCTGACTGTCCATCAGCTATGAGCTTGCTCCTCTCAGAGCTCCTTTCTCAAGGACTGAAGACTGACAGAAATTGGATACAGAAACTTGGAGGAAAATGGAAACAGTGACCAGAGTTGGGTTCCAGAGCAGTGTCTCTGAAAGCGGATTCTGTCTGGCCAGCGTCTGCGGAGTCCAGGAAAAGAACCACTGCTGACTAGTTGTGCCAGCAAAAACAGATGCACACTCAAATTAGATGATTGGGGGAGATTTTAATAAAGGAGTATCTACAGAGTGTGGGCAAAGCCTGAGAGGCTGCAGAATTTGGGGGCTAACGCTAGCGTACCACTCCCACCTCTGGGCCTGAGGAGTTGAGGGAGCTTATTATCCTCTACAGACAGGTAGGGCTTGGCATCTATAGGAGCTGGGACCTTCCATTTATGGATGTAGCCAGTCTGAAGGGACCCTGCAGGGAAAGTCATCTGCGGCCCTCACTCTCCTGCCAGCTCTGGATCCTGACTGAAGCCAGTGGGAGCCAGAGAACCTGGGAATATACTGAGACATGGGCAGTCTCCTAGAGCAGAGGGTGAGTAGGAAGGGACCCAACGAGAAAGCATCACTGAAGCCACCTTCCTTTCTGCTAATCTGTCTACTAGATCAGACCTCTTTTCCAGAGTCTCCGTTGTTTTTTTTTTAATGTAATTAGTGAGTTGTTGTTTTTGAAGCAAGTAGGCATAGCTGCTGCCACCATATTAGTTTTGGTAATTGCTAATGTATCTGGGATGGGATTCTGCTATTTAGTTCTCAAGCAACTCTATGAAGAAGGCCCTGGAAGCTCATTGAGTATATATAAGGCTCAGAGGTTCAGAGACTTGCTTGAAATCCCACAGTAGTAGGTAAAGAGTTGAGAGGCTCTAATCTACACAATCCCTTAACCAGAGACTTGTGGTTGGGTGTCACTGTTTGGGCCTGTCATTCAGGGCCCAACTGAATGTCCCCAAACTAGGGTGAAAGCAAGAACAGGCTTTGAGGCAACAGGACCCAGAGATGTGAATACTCAATGATTCTTGTCCCTCCCTCTCCCTGGATTTATACATCAGGCTCTGTCACAAGGCAGGGTGTGGCTGCTGGCATTCTGGAAGCAGAACCTGAAGGAAAGGTTCTCGTACTAGCTCTAGTTGAGGAAGCCCAGGCAAAGATTCTTACAGACTAGTCCTTGTATGACGCTGCTTCTCAGAAACCCTCTGTGAGGCCTTATGGGTTGGGACTGATTCAACAGCACGTCACAACAATAGGCTCGCATCTGGCACTCATCCCTGGACCAATTACCAATCACCATCTGGGTTCACATGTCTACCTACCCGTGAGGCCAGGGGATGGGTTCTGTATCTGAACAACTTGAAAGAGGGGTGCCAAGAAGACAAGAAATACTGCTGCCCAGACCCACAGTTGCTGCAAGCACCCATACTCCAAGGAAGCTCTCTCTGAAATCATTTCCTCAGTCTGAGACAAGGTCCCCTGCTACAAGAGTAAATATATTTATATAAAATATCTTCCCATTTAAATTTTATTATTAATCTTTAAAATATTTAAAACAAACTATCATATAACAGCAACTGGACTCACTACCCAGATCTTATGAATGCTGACATTTTGCGATCGTTGTTTCAGATCTATTTTTAAGAAGAAAACCCTGCAGTTACTGCTTAATCCTCTTCCCGCTCCACCCTTTTATTTTTACCCCGAGGAATAGCATAATATGCATACTTGCACCCTCTTTCTCTCTGACCTTATGCATTTAGAGACCTTTCCCCTCGGTTTCTGAAGCTTTGGCCCTTTCTCTGACAGCTGCTCAACTGGCTAATGTAGGGAGACGCTGTCCTGTATTTGTCCTATCCCCTAGACGGGAATGTAGGTCCTCTCTCTTCCTGGGCTATGATGAATGGTCATGCTGCATTGAGAGTTCCTCATGGCTTACTGGAGTCCGTGGCAGAAACCCTGGGTACAGTGTCCTGGACATGAAATTACTGAATTAGAGGACATACGTGATTTTCATTTAGATGCTATTGTGAATCACCTCTAAAAGAAGTGTACCAAATAATTACAAATTGAAGAGAGAAGAGGAAGGGAGGGAGGAAGAAGAGAAAACTAGAAAGGAGCAAGCTGCTTCCTTGATGTGGCTTTGAGCACATTTTTCCTGCAGGCAAGACATTTTGTCTTATTTGTAAACCTGACACTGATTCCAGAGAAACTTGCTGCTTCCCCGGAGCCCTAAGCTCTTGAGCATTGAGTCACTTCTACCAGTTGACTTCAACTCTGACTCATGGTGCCCCCATGGATATAAGAGTTGTTGTTGTTAAGTGCGGTCGAGTCGGTTCCGACCCATAACGACCCTGTACAGGGTTTCCGAGGCTGTAAATCTTTATGGGAGCAGAAAGCCTCATCTTTCTCCCGCGGAGCGGCTGGTAGTTTCGAACTGCTGACCTTAAGGTACACAGTCCGATTCGTAACCATTACACTACCAGAGCTCCTTAGATATAAGAGTAGAATTTATTTTTTGGAAATAGACCACCAGGTCTTTCTTCTGAGGCACTTTTGTGTAGACTCAACTGCCAACCTTTGGGTTAACTGTTTGCATCACCTCTGGAGCCTGGGAAAGCTGTACAGGAGACTGAACACACAAGCATGCTTGCCTATACACCAGAGAGCCACTCTGTGTAATGAGGCATTTCCCCCAGGACTGAGGAACCTCCTTATCTGTTACCGGGCACTGAGGATGGCTGGAGTGTTCAAGGCAGAGACGGAAGTGAGGGAAGCATGGGGGCACGGAGCCAGCTGAAAGCTTGTTCACGCCCAGTCCAACCATGACAATTATACCTTTAAATAAATAAAAAAAGTTTTTATTGTGAATTGAGTGATAGTTTCCATGGGAGAAAATCGGCATTACACCGTCGTTTCAACCTTTTCACAAAGGAAACAGCAGCGTGATTTTGGCCTTTTGCCTTTCCCTTAGTGTTTAGTCCTCAAATCATTACTAAAGGCAGGGTTGGAGGTGACTGGAGGAGCGAAAGTGACCCGCACTTCAAGCTTCAGTTCTGTCAGATGACTCTAACAACCCGGAAGTGAAAAGGAACTCCTGAATGTGCTCAGCGCCAGGGGGGTCATGAACACCCCCACCCACCGCCATCACCTCCTCTTTGGAGGCAAGGCTTCCTACCACTCAGCCACTTAGGGCACTGAACTCCACCTAGAGATCCCCCCAACCTGCCCCAGCAGCTCTCCCAGCCTTTTGCTTCCCAAGGACAGCTGGCCTGTCTCCCAAGTGGATATAGCTGTACTGTACAAAGCAAGTATCCAAGATTTGGCAAAACACTTTGTGATTCCTAAAACTGTGCCAAGGAACCCTGATGGTGCAGTGACTAAGCATTCCCCTGCTAACCAAACGATAGACTGAACACACCCAGTAGCCCTGCATGAAAAAGACCTGGTGATCTGCTTCAGTAAAGATTTGTTGTTGTTATGTGCCATGTGCCGTCGAGTCGGTTCCGACTCATAGCGACTCTGTACAGGGTTTCTGAGGCTGTAAATCTTTACGGGAGTAGAATGCCTCAGCTTTCTCCCACGGAACAGCTGGTAGTTTTGAACTGCTGACCTTCCGGTTCACAGGCCGATTCCTAACCACTACACTACAGCTTGGAAAACCCTATGGGTCAGTCCTACTCTGAGTTGGTATGAGTCACTTCCATCAGCTACAACTTTTGTTTGAAGCTCTGATCTGGCTTTTGGTCTCATTGACTCTTCCAAACCAGCACACTGTCTTCCTTTACTTAAGAGTTCAAGCTCTGAAATGATTTTACTGATTAGCGTATTTCCCTGCACTGCCCTTTCTATACCCAGTATCTTCCTTTAGCGTGAGAAGGAATGCGTGGAAGACCCATTTTCCATTGGTAGGAGGTGACGCTGGGGCAGAGCCTGGCCTATATGGGTCATCTCCATTCGCTTTCTTCTCACAGATGGAAGGACCCTAGTACCTTTTAGTCCATAAGTGGGACAAGAATGGCCAGAAAGTTGCAGAGGCTGAATGCCCTGGTGGAGCGGGGCAAAGAGG